ATATGTTAGAAAATGATATATGAAATATATTTCACTCTTAGTTTCATACAAATCTTTGAGTATGTTTCTAATTAATTGACAATAAAGAACAGAATACAGAAAACAGTGATTAAATCACGATTAATCGTTCGATTTATCGCCGTTTTTTGTACAGAATACGATTAATCGCGATTTTTTTGAAAATCGGAAAAATCGTCGCGATTTTCGCGAGACATGGGTATTGAAAACAATTCTTTTCTTGAAATAAAAATGAAAAATATCAATGAACAAAGGTGAAGTTGTCGTGAGTCTGGATGAAAACAAATTTGATTAGCAAAGAGCGATGTTTGTATTTATCCCCAGAGAGTCCCAATGACTCCCCTGCAAATCCCTAGGAACTCCCTTCATTCCCTTTCTAGTTCCTAGGGAATCTTTGTCGAGATTCTCCGATGGAGTTTTAGTGGGGACTCCCTCGGGATTCGTCAGGGGAGAGTTGACTAGAGACGCCATACATCAACATAATTAGAACACTGTAATTACCGATGAAGGTCAGATAGAATATTTCACACCTTCAGAGAAAATATGAGAGAATCTGTGACAGATGTATATGATCCAAGAAACACTACAAGGCAAAGAAGATTTGAAAGGCTTTAAAAATATTTTTTTTCGAGCAGTACTATGTAAAAAGCGATGTGAAACGAGAACCCAAATCATTGTTTTCATTGAGATTAGAAATAATCAAAATCTTAACCTGCTATTTCATTTCTCTGCCGTATATTGAGCTGTCGGACTGTTTGGATCCAAAGATGAAAAAGAAAAAGACTTAAACCCAAAAAATCTCATACTATTTCTCACAACACATACTAAACAAGTAACGCTCATCGACATTCAATGTCGATTCGCTTGGTCCTAGACTGACGGAATGATGACCAGGTTGCCCTTATATTTTTTTTTAAAATTATTTTTGTATAATGATGAGCTCAGGAGAAATTATAAAGATTTGTAACATGTCTAATGTTATATACTATCGATATATTTAAATAGTTCACATAAAATATTGAAACATGCTAAAATGTATATGATAAAGTTGATGCTTGAGTTAATTATAACGGCCAAAACATGGTGATTTATGCCCAAGTAATGGTCATTTCTAATACGGGCATTGTCAACTGCGCCATAGAAATAGTTGGTTGGGTCATGAAAATAGTGAGTTACGCCACAGCAACAGCCAATTGTATAATGAAAATGGTCTATTGTGTCAAATGAATAGACACTTGTGCCATGACTATGATCATTTGTACTAAGTGTTACAGACAATCCGACAGACAGACAGAGGTGAATTTCGGTTTCTAGACCTTCTCCTTTCAGTCTAGAAAAATTTTCAAATATGAATTATTGATAAGAAATATTTAACAGCACGATTAAAATTGTAGTAATGTGTATATTTAGTATCATCGGAGAGATTGATTGCATGTAATTAGAATTTTTAATGATTTATACAAATGAATAAATTGATAAATACTTGCATAATGAAAATGATTTTTCTTTTAAACAAAACTTTAATTTGATTAAAACGTAAAAACAAAGAAAAAGAAAAAATCAGGAAAAAAAATCGAGAAAATTTTTGGTCGTTGATAACAATATTTCAAATATCTCATTTAAATTATTTTTTTCTTCATACATTGAAGAAAATTTCAAATGGAATAACAGAAATTTACTGTTTATTTATGTACAAAAAAATGGAAAAAGTAGAATAAATATTTAATTTATCAAAAGACAAAAGAAAAAGGTAAAATTGATTCGATATAAATATATAATTTTATTTTAAATTTTGATAATATAAATACTCATGTTATCGGTAGTTCCTAAATTTAAACAATGATCTAATAATTGTGATGCTATATGTTTAATTGATGTATTTTTAGCTTTTTCAGAAACGAATAAAGCAACTTGTTCATTGTTCATAACATCCCAAATACCATCACAAGCAATAATCACAAATGATG